CTCACTGGATTCTGAATGTAATGAGTTGAACTCTTCAGGGAATTCAATTCTGGCCTCTATGCACCTCGTGTGAACTTTTGAGCAAATTTGTCGAAGTTAGATTTTTGGATCAAAAACTAATTTTTTGATGATGCCGGCTATGGAAAACGTTGAGGTTTTGGCCCGGGCATTTTGTAGAAAATCTAAAATTATTCTTTTCTCACTGGATTCTGAATGTAATGAGTTGAACTCTTCAGGGAATTCAATTCTGGCCTCTATGCACCTCGTGTGAACTTTTGAGCAAATTTGTCGAAGTTAGATTTTTGGGTCAAAAACTGACTTTATCGATGATGCTGGCTGTCACAAGATTCCCCTCAATCAGGAGGACCCGGGAATGGATTAACAGCTCATACATTGTAATGCCAAATTGTTCAACTGGAGTCAAGTTATAATAAGATTATCCCATTCCAACTTCGTGGACTTCTAATACATCAAAAAATTTAGGCTGGGTCTCTCCCTTAATACAATCACACAAAAAAAGTTTCACAGTTTATATCAATTAGGTTGGGGTCGCTTCCCCATAATACAATCACAAAAAGAAAAAGCTATACAGTATAAGTCTGGAAATTAAATATTCACAAGACCTTTTAAAATCAACTCGTGACAATTACTCCCCACTGGAAGAAGATGGAATGATTTCAAATTTCATCTTTCTTATAATTCACACATTTGATTTTTCGTACATTCAAGGTAGACAACGACTCAAAAATTCTGCTCCAATATTGTCTTTACCCCTAATTACTCTCACTACTTATCGATATGGCTGTAAGCTCAAAGCCCAACGCATCACTCTGCTATTACTCAGCTTGGTTTTAGCTATGTATGCAAGTGGGTGATGATCTGTTTCAATTTCGAACTGTTTCCCATACAAATACACATGAAACTTCTTCACTGCCCATACCAAAGCCAGACATTCTTTTTCAACTACTTAATACGCCTGTTCTCTTTTTAGAAGTTTCTTACTTGCAAAACAAATAGGGAACTTTTCCCCTTCCACTTCTTGCATGAGTACAGCACCTTGACCTTTGTCGGATGCATCAGTACGAACTACATATTTCTTATCTGTATCTGGCAGGTGTAAAATCGGCAGGTGTAAAATTGAAAGCCAACTCTTGTGGTTCTCCCCATTCAACATTATTTGACTTCCCGTGCTTTGTCAAATCTGACAGAGGTGCGGCAATGGCCGAGAAATTTGGTATGAATTTTCGGTAGTACCCTACCAAACCCAAAAATGACCCGATCTCCTTTTTTGTGCGGGGTGTCTGTTCGGCCAAAATTGCGTCAACCTTTCTCGGGACTGGTTTAATTAACCCTTCACTCACAACATGCCCCAGGAACTCAAGTGACTTATATACAACATAACATTTGCTTGGTCTTGCAGTGAGACCCTCTCCACGGAGCCTCTCTAGAACTTTGCCAACTACCTCAATGTGTTGCCCGAATGTGTCTGTGAAAATTAATATGTCATCGATATAGTTAACCACATGATTTATACCATCAAGTAATCTATGCATCATACGACTGAATACGGCTGGTGCATTAACTAATCCGAATGGTAATACGGTAAACTGAAATAATCCTCCTTCTGAAGTAACAAAGGCCGTTTTCTCTCTATCTTCTTTTGTGGCGGGGATCTGTCAATAGCCCTTAGATAGGTCTAGTTTAGTGAAAAATTTTCCACCTGAAATTTGAACAAGCAAATCCTCAACATTCCGAATAGGTTCTGGATCGAAAACTGTTATCGCATTCAATTTTCTGTAATCGATACAGAATCTCACCTTGCCATCTGGTTTATGAACTAATACAATTGGTGACGCATAAGCCGATTCCGACTTTTCTATGACCCCCATTCTCAACATGGCATCAATTTCTTGCTTAACTGTGTCCCTAACTGCATGTGGTACTTGATAAGCTTTGGATTTTACTGGATCTGTGGTGGTCAGTTTTACCTTGAACTCGATCAATTCTGTTTGACCTGGTAAATCATTCAAAACATCCCCAAACTCACTCAACAGCTCTTGAATTTTGGCAGATTCAGTTTCACTCTCTGTTTGACCAATGTGAACATCTTGAACAGTTTCAGTTTGTTTGACTGATGGTAGCTCACTATTTACCACGTCATCAACATCATCTTCAAACTCTATAATTCCTGCACCTAACAGTTGTAAACATGAACCTGCAGATACCCTGTCTTCTGTATTTTTTCTTCTGACATACTTTCTCAACAAATTGGCATGATATATTTTTGTCTTGCCATTTTGGTCTATTCGATAGTCGTGTTTTCCAACTTTACTTGTCACTCCGAAAGGACCTTTCCACTGTAACAACAATTTATTTGAGTCTGTGGGTAAAAGTACAAGTACTTGGTCTCCCTCTACACATTTCCTATCTCTGGTTCTGGTATCATAGTATTTCTTATACCTCCCTGATGCTTTTGACAATTCTTCCTGTGCCATTTGACAGGTAGATTCAAACCTATTTCTGAGATCAATGACATACTCGTATGTCGTTTTGATTTCTTCTTCACTGGTAGTGTCTGTCCATAATTCCCGCAAAATGTCCAAAGGGCCTCTGACCGTACGCCCGAACAGTAGCTCAAATGGCGAGAAACCTAAGCTTTCCTGCAGCACTTCACGATAAGCAAACAATAATGCAGGCAGGTACCTGTCCCAATCTTTGGGGCGTTCTGCGCACATTCTGCGAAGCATTCTTTTCATTGTGCCGTTAAAGCGCTCGACGAGCCCATTGCACATAGGATGATATGGGGTAGTATGCAACTGACTCACTTCCTGCATTACTTCAGAGGTGAACTGAGTCCCTAAGTCGGTAAGTGTTTCCTGTGGAACTCTTACCCTAGTGAAAACGGTAAGAAGTGCCTCAGCTACCCTCTCTGATTCTATTCTAGGCAATGCTACAGCTTCGGGGTTTCTGGTCGCATAATCTACAATTGTCAGAATGTAACGATTTCCCTGATCTGTAACTGGATGGATGGGGCCTACGATATCTACTGCTACCCTACAAAAAGGAGTATCGATGAGAGGCATTTTGTCTAAGGAAACCTTTCCTACTTTACCCTTCGGGACTGTACGCTGACATATGTCACATGAACCCCAGTATCTCCTGACATCGCCTTGTAGGCCTGGCCATTAAAAGTCGGCAAGAATTCGATCACCAGTCTTTTTGACCCCTATAAACCACTAACTGTCTAAACAATCGACCCTTCTCTACCTTTGGCGACTTAAACTCTCTGTAATACAGGTTTCTATTCTTCACAAATCTGGTCTCGTTTGCACTACCTGTAATACGTACAGAACCTGTCTCAGCAAGATTTCTTACTTTCTCTAAAGTTGCATCGTTATCTGCTCCATAGCAAATTCATCTGTACTAGCAACATTTTCCTTAGTAGGGACCTTAAGGCATGGAAACGGTTTTTCCTGTTTAGCCTTCTGACTACGAGTCTGTACTGCTCCTACTGTATCTTCTACTGTATCTTGACGAGCTAACTCATCCTTCATTACTGGTAACTGCCACGATGGATCCGGATTGTCCGGTTCTTTTACTCCTGCTATGTTGCCTAGGACTAACCCATACAACGGACTCTCCATACACAAAGCCTCAACAGTGCCCTTAAAATAAGGTGAATCTACTTCAATCCTAGCTACTGGATAGTTCCTACCTCCTTTCTTACATCTCTACTTTTTTGACTACCTCTAAACTTGCTACTTTATTCCTTGGGGACTGCTGTGTGTTTTCCCGAGGGTGTTTCCTTCAATATTTAGCTACGTGTCCCCTCATGCCACAGTTGAAACACTTTGGTCTATCCTGGGAACGATTATCGATTGATTTGTCCTGACTAACCTGGTTAGCTACATTACTCTCGCTTGTTTTATTCCTTGAACCATCTGATACCTTTCTGTCATGCTTAATTTTATCAGAGAATGGTATGTGAGCAAGCATATACTGGTCTGCCAGTTTCGTGAGTTCTTTACTGCTTTGTGGTCTACGCTCTCTTAGAAATACTGCTAAGTCCTTGGGGCAACCTGCAATGACCTGTTTCCTAACAGTCAAGTCAACAAGACCTTGATAATCCTTTTTCACCTCCGCTAATTCAACCCATCTTGTATGGTAGTCCTTAAGCCTATCTGCGAATTGGGAATATGTCTCGCCTACTTCTGGCCTGGCTGTTTTGAACTTCTCTCGAAACCCATCCTCAGTTAGCCTATATCTTTTGAGAAGCGCTAACTTCAACTGTTGGTAATCACTGGCCTGATCATCAGGTAACCTAGTATATACATCTAAGGCTCTACCTGTTAGTAATGTACTAAGTGATATTGCCCAATCGGCTTGGGACCATTCTACTGAAGTGGCATATCTCTCAAAACGTCCAATGTACGAATCTAAATCGTCTTGCCTATCCCTAAACCTAGGTAACTTCGGTGACTTAATATTGCTAAAGGGACTCGACGCTCTTGAATTATTTGCGTTTGAGTTGCTGTGTGTGTTCTCTTCTGCTATTCTGAGTTCCAGTTCTTTCAACTCTCTAGCATGCTCGCGTTCCTGCTGACGCTCAGCGCGTACTGCTATATCTTCATTCTTTTTGTTTACTTTTTCCTCGCGCTCTTGAGCAAACTTGAGAAGGTCTTGGCCCTCTAACCCTAGGTCCTTTCCCGTTTTCAAAAAAAATTCAAATTGTTCCATGATGAAAGTGCATCAAGTAGGTGAGTGAAGTACTACGCTTCCAATACCCTACAGGCAATCCTTCATCACCTGTCCGAGATCGTCTAACCACAGAGTCGTGACCAATAGGCCTAGTACCGAAATCTTTAAGGAAAAGATTTCCCGGACAAGCCCCCAATGTCACAAGATCCCCCTCAATCAGGAGGACCCCGGAATGGTACTTTAGATCAAACTGTGATGGTAAAGACTCAACTCAGACAAAATGAAAGAAGGACAGATCTGTATATAATTTCAAGATTAATTTAATTCACAATATCACCAATATTAACATACACTTAAATTTCATCCTACAAAAAACTCAATAAATACATCATTATAAATACATTACAAAACAATCAACGAAAGTGGGCCCAAATCAACAGTTCGTGTGAAGTTGTGTGGTTGTGGTTCAGCAGTGCCTGCCCTGGTAGTACCATCTGTGTCCGTAGAGTCCTCTGCCCACGTGTGACCTTGCTGACAATCCTGCTGGTATGGTCGACTTGAGCTCGGCCCGCCGAGGATGTCTATCTCACTGTGCGGAGTTCCCCAAACCAGACGTTACGTCCCAAAACCCTGGTTTAGAATTAAGTACAAGTTGTCACCATGCATTTCTCTTACACAAGATTATTACATGCAACATCCATATCAGTTTAAGCTCATTTAACATAGCCTAAAATGCAATGTACATTTTATACACAAAACCCAAACAATGTGTTATTGCCAAGACACATTTCCAATGTTTTACAACAGTTATACAAATACAAATTTTCACTTTTTAAATTCAGATTGAAAATTGTAATGCAATAATACTTACAGGTTATGGCGAATAACCTGGTCTACATTTCATTGACTTTGACGAGGAGACGAGGACGGCCGCAGCCTACCGACTCTGTGTGACTCATTCCCAACGGCGCAAATAATTGCAAAATCAGTTCACTAGGAACCTACAACTCCCCAATGTGGGTACACATGAGCATAACATGCCCTGACCTAGTGTCGGTCCTGGTCTCGCCTCCAAGTGCCTAGCCAACGCCCCAATCTGGATTTTATACCCAAGACTGATGGTCTAAAAGTATTTCAAAACCTCACAACATGTTAAGTTAATCTACCAACAGGCACTGACTGCTCAGTTGAATCCCACCATTGTTAAATACTTATAGGATTAACAGCTTATTCATTGTAATGCCAAAGTGTTCAACTGGAGTCAAGTCATAATAAGATTACCCCAATTCCAACTTCGTGGACTTCTAATACATCAAAAAAATTAGGTTGGGTCTCTCCCTTAATACAATCACACACAAAAAGTTTCACAGTATAGGCCCCTATATATCTCAATTAGGTTGGGGTCGCTTCCCCATAATACAATCACAAAAAGAAAAAGCTCTACAGTATAAGTCTGGAAATTAAATATTCACAAGACCTTTTAAAATCAACTTGTGACACCGGCTAGGGGAAACGTTGAAGTTTTGGGGGCATTTTGTAAAAAATCTAAAAGTTTTCTTTTCTCACTTGATACTGAATGTAATGAGTTGAACTCTTCAGGGAATTGAATTCTGGCCTCTAGGCACCTCTTGTGAACTTTTGGGCAAATTTGTTGAAGTTGGATTTTTGGGTCAAAAACTGCCTTTTTTATGATGCCGGCTATGGAAAACGTTGAAGTTTTGGGGGCATTGTGTAAAAAATCTAAAATTGTTCTTTTCTCACTGGATACTGAATGTAATGAGTTGAACTCTTCAGGGATTTCAATTCTGGCCTCTAGGCACCTCGTGTGAACTTTTGAGCAAATTTGGTGAAGTTGGATTTTTGGGTCAAAAACTGACATTTTCGATGATGCCGGCTATGGAAAACGTTGAAGTTTTGGGGGCATTTTGTAAAAAATCTAAAGTTGTTCTTTTCTCACTGGATACTGAATGTAATGAGTTGAACTCTTCAGGAAATTCAATTCTGGCCTCTAGTCACCTCGTGTGAACTTTTGAGCAAATTTGGTGCAGTTGGATTTTTGGGTCAAAAACTGACTTTTTTTATGATGCCGGCTATGGAAAACGTTGAAGTTTTGGGGGCATCTTGTAAAAAATCTAAAATTGTTCTTTTCTCACTGGATACTGGATGTAATGAGTTGAACTCTTCAGGGATTTCAATTCTGGCCTCTAGGCACCTCGTGTGAACTTTTGAGCAAATTTGGTGCAGTTGGATTTTTGGGTCAAAACTGACTTTTTTATGATGCCGGCTATGGAAAACGTTGAAGTTTTGGGGGCATTTTGTAAAAAATCTAAAATTGTTCTTTTCTCACTGGATACTGGATGTAATGAGTTGAACTCTTCAGGGATTTCAATTCTGGCCTCTAGGCACCTCGTGTGAAATTTTGAGCAAATTTGGTGCAGTTGGATTTTTGGGTCAAAAACTGACTTTTTTTATGATGCCGGCTATGGAAAACGTTGAAGTTTTGGGGGCATTTTGTAAAAAATCTAAAATTGTTCTTTTCTCACTGGATACTGAATGTAATGAGTTGAACTCTTCAGGGAATTCAATTCTGGCCTCTAGTCACCTCGTGTGAACTTTTGAGCAAATTTGGTGCAGTTGGATTTTTGGGTCAAAAACTGACTTTTTTTATGATGCCGGCTATTGAAATCGTTGAAGTTTTGGGGGCATTTTGTAAAAAATCTAAAATTGTTCTTTTCTCACTGGATACTGAATGTAATGAGTTGAACTCTTCAGGGAATTCAATTCTGGCCTCTAGTCACCTCATGTGAACTTTTGAGCGAATTTGGTGAAGTTGGATTTTTGGGTCAAAAACTGACTTTTTTTATGATGCCGGCTATGGAAAACGTTGAAGTTTTGGGTTCATTTTGTAAAAAATCTAAAATTGTTCTTTTCTCACTGGATTCAGTAATGTAATGAGTTGAACTCTTCAGGGAATTCAATTCTTGCCTCTAGTCACCTCGTGTGAACTTTTGAGCAAATTTGGTGCAGTTGGATTTTTGGGTCAAAAACTGACTTTTTTTATGATGCCGGCTATGGAAAACGTTGAAGTTTTGGGGGCATTTTGTAAAAAATCTTAAATTGTTCTTTTCTCACTGGATACTGAATGTAATGAGTTGAACTCTTCTGGGAATTCTATTTTGGCCTCTAGTCACCTCGTGTGAACTTTTGAGCAAATTTGGTGAAGTTGGATTTTTGGGTCAAAAACTGACTTTTCTTATGATGCCGGCTATGGAAAACGTTGAAGTTTTGGGGGCATTTTGTAAAAAATCTAAAATTGTTCTTTTCTCACTGGATACTGAATGTAATGAGTTGAACTCTTCAGGGAATTCAATTCTGGCCTCTAGTCACCTCGTGTGAACTTTTGAGCAAATTTGGTGAAGTTGGATTTTTGGGTCAAAAACTGACTTTTCTTATGATGCCGGCTATGGAAAACGTTGAAGTTTTGGGGGCATTTGTAAAAAATCTAAAATTGTTCTTTTCTCACTGGATACTGGATCTAATGAGTTGAACTCTTCAGGGATTTCAATTCTGGCCTCTAGGCACCTCGTGTGAACTTTTGAGCAAATTTGGTGCAGTTGGATTTTTGGGTCAAAACTGACTTTTTTATGATGCCGGCTATGGAAAACGTTGAAGTTTTGGGGCATTTTGTAAAAAATCTAAAATTGTTCTTTTCTCACTGGATACTGGATGTAATGAGTTGAACTCTTCAGGGATTTCAATTCTGGCCTCTAGGCACCTCGTGTGAAATTTTGAGCAAATTTGGTGCAGTTGGATTTTTGGGTCAAAAACTGACTTTTTTTATGATGCCGGCTATGGAAAACGTTGAAGTTTTGGGGGCATTTTGTAAAAAATCTAAAATTGTTCTTTTCTCACTGGATACTGGATGTAATGAGTTGAACTCTTCAGGGATTTCAATTCTGGCTTCTAGGCACCTCGTGTGAAATTTTGAGCAAATTTGGTGCAGTTGGATTTTTGGGTCAAAAACTGACTTTTTTTATGATGCCGGCTATGGAAAACGTTGAAGTTTTGGGGGCATTTTGTAAAAAATCTAAAATTGTTCTTTTCTCACTGGATACTGAATGTAATGAGTTGAACTCTTCAGGGAATTCAATTCTGGCCTCTAGTCACCTCGTGTGAACTTTTGAGCAAATTTGGTGCAGTTGGATTTTTGGGTCAAAAACTGACTTTTTTTATGATGCCGGCTATTGAAATCGTTGAAGTTTTGGGGGCATTTTGTAAAAAATCTAAAATTGTTCTTTTCTCACTGGATACTGAATGTAATGAGTTGAACTCTTCAGGGAATTCAATTCTGGCCTCTAGTCACCTCATGTGAACTTTTGAGTGAATTTGGTGAAGTTGGATTTTTGGGTCAAAAACTGACTTTTTTATGATGCCGGCTATGGAAAACGTTGAAGTTTTGGGTTCATTTTGTAAAAAATCTAAAATTGTTCTTTTCTCACTGGATACTGAATGTAATGAGTTGAACTCTTCAGGGAATTCAATTCTGGCCTCTAGTCACCTCGTGTGAACTTTTGAGCAAATTTGGTGCAGTTGGATTTTTGGGTCAAAAACTGACTTTTTTTATGATGCCGGCTATGGAAAACGTTGAAGTTTTGGGGGCATTTTGTAAAAAATCTAAAATTGTTCTTTTCTCACTGGATACTGAATGTAATGAGTTGAACTCTTCTGGGAATTCTATTTTGGCCTCTAGTCACCTCGTGTGAACTTTTGAGCAAATTTGGTGCAGTTGGATTTTTGGGTCAAAAACTGACTTTTCTTATGATGCCGGCTATGGAAAACGTTGAAGTTTTGGGGGCATTTTGTAAAAAATCTAAAATTGTTCTTTTCTCACTGGATACTGAATGTAATGAGTTGAACTCTTCAGGGAATTCAATTCTGGCCTCTAGTCACCTCGTGTGAACTTTTGAGCAAATTTGTTGCAGTTGGATTTTTGGGTCAAAAACTGACTTTTTTTATGATGCCGGCTATGGAAAACGTTGAAGTTTTGGGGGCATTTTGTAAAAAATCTAAAATTGTTCTTTTCTCACTGGATACTGAATGTAATGAGTTGAACTCTTCTGGGAATTCAATTATGGCCTCTAGTCACCTCGTGTGAACTTTTGAGCAAATTTGTTGCAGTTGGATTTTTTTGTCAAAAACTGACTTTTTTATGATGCCGGCTATGGAAAACGTTGAAGTTTTGGGGGCATTTTGTAAAAAATCTAAAATTGTTCTTTTCTCATTGGATACTGGATGTAATGAGTTGAACTCTTCAGGGATTTCAATTCTGGTCTCTAGGCACCTCGTGTGAAATTTTGAGCAAATTTGGTGCAGTTGGATTTTTGGGTCAAAAACTGACTTTTTTTATGATGCCGGCTATGGAAAACGTTGAAGTTTTGGGGGCATTTTGTAAAAAATCTAAAATTGTTCTTTTCTCACTGGATACTGAATGTAATGAGTTGAACTCTTCTGGGAATTTAATTATGGCCTCTAGTCACCTCGTGTGAACTTTTGAGCAAATTTGGTGAAGTTGGATTTTTGGGTCAAAAACTGACTTTTTTTATGATGCCGGCTATGGAAAACGTTGAAGTTTTGGGGGCATTTTGTAAAAAATCTAAAATTGTTCTTTTCTCACTGGATACTGAATGTAATGAGTTGAACTCTTCTGGGAATTCTATTTTGGCCTCTAGTCACCTCGTGTGAACTTTTGAGCAAATTTGGTGAAGTTGGATTTTTGGGTCAAAAACTGACTTTTTTATGATGCCGGCTATGGAAAACGTTGAAGTTTTGGGGGAATTTTGTAAAAAATCTAAAATTGTTCTTTTCTCACTGGATACTGAATGTAATGAGTTGAACTTTTCTGGGAATTCAATTATGGCCTCTAGTCACCTCGTGTGAACTTTTGAGCATATTTGGTGCAGTTGGAATTTTGGGTCAAAAACTGACTTTTTTTATGATGCCAGCTATGGAAAACGTTGAAGTTTTGGGGGCATTTTTTAAAAAATCTAAAATTGTTCTTTTCTCACTGGATACTGAATGTAATGAGTTGAACTCTTCAGGGATTCAATTCTGGCCTCTAGGCACCTCGTGTGAACTTTTGAGCAAATTTGGTGAAGTTGGATTTTTGGGTCAAAAACTGACTTTTTTTATGATGCCGGCTATGGAAAACGTTGAAGTTTTGGGGGCATTTTGTAAAAAATCTAAAATTGTTCTTTTCTCACTGGATACTGAATGTAATGAGTTGAACTCTTCAGGGAATTCAATTCTGGCCTCTAGTCACCTCGTGTGAACTTTTGAGCAAATTTGTTGCAGTTGGATTTTTGGGTCAA